GAATGTGCCATGCCTGGCCCCCTTGAGTCTAGTAGAAATGCTATTATCTTACATTTGATTTATTTAGACTCCAATAAAACTGTCTCTGAAAGATTCCATGTAGGAACTGCAAAACAGGATGTTCTGCATACTGGTTTGGGATGACTCCATTTGATTTGGGAAAGGCCAGCAGGTAGGTCAACTGAGTGACATATCAACCCAGTGGTCAGGCTACCAGCAAACCGGGTCCTCTAGGAATCAGTGATTTTTTTCTTCTGAGCTCCTTAGTGATTCCTTTACTACCTTGAAACTTTGTTCTCTCTTTTCATTAATAACAAGAGCATTTCATTATCTTTTAATGCTGGTTAATATACATCTAGTATTTATTATTTGTATAGTAAATGTCTTAGTCAGAAGGGATACAGTAAAGTTATAGAAAATGGACTTTGAGAATAGCTGGGGATACAAGTTGTGTGCTGGCACACACATGCATAGCCACAGGAGTATACCTTCTGTGGCCATAACATTATTTTTCAATTAAGGCACATAATAGGTGTACCAAACTAATCTTGAACTATTAATCTGTGTTTTTGTCATTTATTGCTTCAGTTAATCCAGCGAGTCAGTTAGCTGATAGTCAACTAAAAGAGTTTCCATAGTACTATAAAATTTCCCTAGAAAGAGATTGTACCTTAAAACTTACAAACTCAACAGTGTTGAGAGAGAACTTTTCCTCCAAACTGTCAACTCTTGGTATTATCAAACTTTTTAAAAATATAAATATATATTTTTATTTATTTCAGAGAGGAAGGGAGAGGGAGAGAGAGATAAAATCATCAATGATGAGAGAGAATCATTGATTGGCTGCCTCCTGCACACCCCACACTTGGAATTGAGCCCCCAAACCGGGCATATGCCCTGACCATGAATTGAACTGTGACCTCCTGGTTCATAGGTTGATGCTCAACCACTGAGCCACCATGGTTGGGCAATATTATCAAACTTTTTAATCCTTGACTTGGGTAGAAAGATCTAATTTTTAAAATTTACATGTCTTCAATTGTGAATGAAGTTGGGCAGTTTTCATATTCTCACTGGGTATTTATATTTGACTCCTTTGTACAAAATATGTCCAGGATGTTTCTGAGTCTGTTATATTTGTTAAATGGGCAATTTAGGATCAATTCATTTGCCTAGTCAGTATCTTAAGTATTTTGTGGCATTCATTAATAATAACTCTTTGCTTTTTTAAGGAATTTTTTGGAACTTGTTACAAATTCCATTCAAGATTGGATCATAAAAGAAGAAGCTCTCTATCAGGAATCTAAAATGGCTGAGGAAATTGCTAAAACCAAAGCTGAGATGGAACTGAAATCTTCTATTAGTACCAAAATTGTTTCTCCTAGCAAAGTTAATTCTGTTAAAAAATCTGCTAGTAAGTAAGCTTTTGAATTTATACAAGTCCAAAGACATTCTATTTCTTAATTTAACCAAGACTGAATATTTTAGGATTTAAACAAGTTGCCTGCAGTGTTGCTGTGATTCTTGACTTTCTCTAAAAAAACAGAATAGCTGCATTCCAACTATGATGAGATCATACCCAAGTGGAATATCGACCCCCCTTCCTGTCAGGTCAGGTTCGATCTGTTGTACAGGTCAAATGTGATGTTAGGAAAATGACAAATATCTTGATCTTGTTAAGGTTGATAGGTTCAGCTATCTAAAATTTGTTGACTATATATATGAAGTAAATTCAGAGTCCGGATGTCTCCAATAGAAAAATTACAGATTCCAAAAGTGAAGTTAAAACAAGACCTTCCTTAGAAGAGCAAACAGAAGAGTCCCAACACTAACCTAAGGTAGAATCTAAAATTAAAGGGAAGCCAGCCTGTGTTGCTCAGTGGTTGAGCATCTACCTATGAACCAGGAGGTCACAGTTCAATTCCTGGTCGGGGCACATGCCCCAGGCTTGATCCCTACCCAATTAGGGGTGTGCAGGAGGCAGCCAAGTAATGATTCTCTCTCATCACTGATGTTTTTATTTCTCTCTCCCTCTCCCTCCCTCTCTAAAATCAATAAAAATATTTAAAAAACAGAGTCTAGCGAGGCTAAGAGGATGTGAAGGAGGGCGAGGGAGAGAAAGATAGAAGCATCGATTGGTGAAAGGAGAAGAGGATGACTAAGAAGAATGATAGTTGATTTTAGAAGTCAAATAATGAAGGAAGTCATCTGGAAAATAAAGATTATTCACTGAGTTCTAAGTGAATTATGATGGAGAATAGACTTCATCTTAATAATACTCATTATTTCTAACAGCCAACATTGAGAGTAATTTCTTATAAAGAATCAAAGCTATAATTTCCAAAGCTTTTCTATTCCTCATTAATGACCAGAGGAATTTGTGCTTGGTTAGTTTCTAAAATAAAACTTAGCAAACCAAGTCGATGATGAATCATTCACCATCTACCAAAATAGTTATACAATATAATCCATCTATCAGCTGAGCCTTCCTCCTGATGGGGGCTCAGCAGGAGAGCAGTAAGTGGAATAATGGAAAAAGATAGGTAGGGCCACCTTCTCTAGGTGCCTAAGAAAATCCAGAAAAATGGCCAGTTTGGGATTGGAATACATCTGGTAGGTATTGCATTCAGTTTGAGTCCTCTCAAGTCAGGAAAGATGTAAACCTTCCAAACAGAATGACTACAATGGCCAGAGGAGGGCTTCAATGCGGAAGGAAAAGTTAGATTTGTCTTGTGTGGTCTTAAAGTGTTAAATTAGGATTAATTGGTTAAAGCCCTAGCGAGAGAGAGTCCAGTTCAATAAAACCTTTAAATTCTCAACACGCTGCTTCCACTGATAGTGAGTTCCTCCTACCACAAGGAGCTCAGTTCCCCTTCAGAAGCCCATTCAGGAGATGGTGAGAAATAATTCCAAGATGAATGAATGGGGAGTTGAGCTTGATAGCCTTTGATATCCCCTACAACCCAGACATGCCGTCCTTCTATGAAACTTTGTTTTAGGGAGTTACTAAGAAGTTTAATTTTCTCTGGTTATAGGTAACAAAGTAATGATCAAAACAGAGATACCAGATCAAGAAAAAGAAAAAGAGAAGGAAAAATTGACTTTTGTTTTAGAAGGCTCTCTGAAGGTAATACAAGGAAAGAAAACAGTGACAATGAGTAATCACATATTCAGAAATTTTGGGGGATAGGTTGTGTGGTATAAGAGGAAATGATCTTTTTACTAAATGTTCAGAAATAATTGAAAACTATAATTAAAGGACAGTCTTTCCACCAAGCTGACTCCTCTACCAGATGATAAGCCTGTAAGGGAAGCTGTGTCATTCATTTTTATGTAACCAAATCCAGGGCAGCGCCTTGTTCAAACTTGTCATACTCTTTGTTTCTGTGGCAGGTGTTTGTTTTGTTTGTGGATTTTTAATTGGAATTTTTAGTTATAAAAGTAATGTATGCTTTTTATAATAAATCAAAATTACCCTTGCTCTTCTATACCCCTGAAATAAGAAATATTAACAATTTCACATTTTCTATGCTTACACAGCATGCATGCACAGATACAAAGAGTGTTTTCATTTGTTTGGTTTAGATTTGGTATGGTTTTTTGACTCTGCTATATGCTTTTTCCCCCCCTTATCAACATATCATGAATATTACTTTCAGACAATATGTAGAGATCTAACTTATTTTCATAGAATATGTTAGCCTATTAATAAGTATCATTTATGTTTCTATATAGAACTATTTAACTTTTATGTAGTCAAATCAGTCATTTTTGACCAAATTTTAAGAGACACAGTGCTAAATTTTGACAAATATAGGAAGTAAAGTGAATTCTCATGCATTTCTGGGTAAAGTATAAATTGGCACTTCCACTTTGGAAAACTGGACAAATCTCCTAAAGCTAAGCACATAATTTCTCTTTAAGTTAGTATTCCACTCATAAGTATATGCCCAGTAGAAATGCATGTGTGTAGGTGCATCAAGACACATGGGCAAAGTTGTTCTTGCAGCATCATTTTTAACTCTCCCAAATCAGAAACAATTCAAGCATTCATCAGCCTAGTGTGATTTAGTCATGTGGCGAAATACTACACAGCTCTGGAAATGAATGACCTATAGCTGCATTCCTACATATAGAAGTATATGGATGAATCTCACAAACATCATGTTCAGCAAAAGAAGAGTCAAAAGAATATATACATTACGCATGCTTTTATTGACATAAAGTTTAAAAGCAGGCAAAGCTAAACTAAAGTATTATGAAGTAGGAGAATGGCTGCCTTTGGGGCAATGGAAGTGGGCAGGAAGAAGAATGAGCAGGGCTTCTGGGAAGCTGGAGATGGTCTATTGCTTGACCTGGTGGTACTAACAGTAATGTTTACTTGGTGGTGATTCATTCAGCTACTCACTTGGGATTTGTGCTCTTTTTGTATGGATGTTAAGCTTATCCAAAACAGTTTTTAAAAATCTGTCACTTTTTTAATGGTCTCAGGACTTTTATGTTTTTTATTCCATTGGGTTGATTCCACCTGAGATTACACATTAATTTTCTTGCACTATAGCAGAATATTTTCACAGACATACTTTTCATATTCAGATAGCTAATCAACGTGAAATTCACTTTGTATAGTATAATATAAAGGCCTTACTTTTCTTTGCCTGGATGGACTGTCATTTTACTAGTACTTGATTTTGCCTCTTGACCCAAAAAGCCTAAAATATTTACCATCTGGCCCTTGATAGGAAAAGGTTAGAAGTAAACACTCCATTTCTATTCTATTCCTGGTTGCTCTAGGAATTCAACTTGTATATATAATTTAATGAAACCTAAACTTAATAAAGTATCTTTACTTTCTTCCAGCACAATACAAGGAACCAGTAAAATTATTTAAAATTAAGTTTTATCTTGCTTTTTCTTGTTCCAAAAAATTACACATTATTATTGTCGATGTTATTTAGAGTAGGCCCATGCTTATTATTTCTTTTAGTTTCGCTTTTGGGATCTTTTTAACTTTATTTTACTTTTTCCATCACTATTTATCCCCTCTATACCCTCTTCCACCTCCATCTACCACCCTCCCCCACCCAAACACCACACTGTTGACCCAGTCTATGAGTTCTTTCTCTATTTTTTCTTTTCTTGCTCAATGTCTTCTCCCACTCCCCAACATTCCCCCGCCAGAGTTTTCTACCTGCTCTCTATCTATGAGTCTGTCTCTATTTTGCTTGTTAGTCCAATTTATTCATTAAATTCCACATATGAGTGAAATCATATGGTATTTGTCTTTCTCTGACTGGCATATTTCATTTAGCACAATAATCTCCAGATCCATCAATGCTGTTGCAAAGAGTAAATTTTTTTTCCCCCTTTTTACAGCTAAGTAGTATACCACTGTATAAATGTACCATAGCTATTTTGTCTGCTCATCTACTGATGGGCACTTGTGCTAGTCTCAAATCTTGACTATTGTAAATAATATTGAGATTAACATAGGGGTGCATATGTTCTTTTGAATTAGAGTTTCAGGTTTCTTTGGATAAATTCTCAGAAGTGGAATTGCTGGGTCATAAGTTAGTTCCATTTTTAATTTTTGGAGATAACACCATACTGCTTTCCACAGTGGCTTCACCAATCTGCATTCACACCAACAGTACGCAAGGGTTCCTTTTCTCCACATCATAGCCAACACTTGTTTGTTGATTTATTGATGATAACCATTCTGACAGCTGTGAAGCGATATCTCACTGTGTGTTTTATTGCATTTCTCTGATGATTGGTGATGTTGAGCATCTTTTCATATATCTATTGGTCATCTGTAAATCATCTTTGGAGACATATCTATTCAGGTCCGTTGCCCATTTTTTAATTGGATTGTTTGTTTGTTTTTGGTGTTGAGTTTATAAGTTCTTTATAAAGCAGATGTATCAGCGAATATGTTCAGTGGGTTGTCTTTTCATTTTGTTGCTGATTTCCTGTGCTGTGCAAAAACTTTTTAGTTTGATGTAGTCCCCTTTTTTTTTTTTTTGGTTTGTCCCCTTGCCCAAGGAGATAAAGCAGAAAAAAATAGTGCTATTAAAAATGTTTGCGATTACACTGCCTATGTTTTTTTTTCTAGGATTTTTATGGTTTTGAGTCTAACATTTTAGTCTTTAGTAAATTTTGAGTTTATTCTTGTGTGTGGGGTAAAAAGGTGGCATAGTTTCATTTTTTTTGCATGTATCTATTCAATTTTTCTAACATATTTATTGAATAGACTATCTTTAGGCCTTTGCATGTTCTTGCCTCCTTTGTCAAATATTAACATAAAGGTATGGGTTTATGTCTGAGCTCTCTATTCTATTCCATTAATCTAGATGTCTGTTTTTGTGCAAGGACCATGCTGTTTTGCTTGCTATAGCCTTGTAGCAGAGATTTATATCAGATGGCATGGTTCCTCCAACTTTGTTCTTCTTTCTCAAGATCACTTAGATACTACTTAGAAAAGCCATGTTAAATGTTCTCTCAAATGGGCCCAAATGGGATATATTTTTTAAAAAATCCTGTTACAATTTTTAATGTGTTTATAGGCATGGAAAGAAGAACAAGATCGATTAGCAGAAGAGGAGCGCATAAAAGAAGAAAAAAAAGCAGAAAAGAAGAGTAAGGAAGTTGGTAAAAGGAGAGGCAAAGAAAAGTTAGAGAAAGAAGAGAGTAGGACTGTGAAGAAAAAATCTATGCTCAAGGAAAAAGCTAAAGAAGAGCAAATAAAGCTATCAGACATACCAGAGATGATGAGTCTCCAAGAGCCACAACCTGAGATAGTTTACCCGGTAAAATTAATTTTTGAATAAGCTTTATTGGTCATTAATAATTGTTTGTTGCAGGGGAAGAACACAGCTTCTGTGGAAACAATAGGTTCCTAGTCTTTTCTGCCACAGCAAAGGCCTTAGGGTTTCTTCTAGTAGCTGATCTCAGACCTGTAGTCCATCCTCTGATACCTAGGGCCTTCTTTGTAGCCAGTCTCCAAGACAGGACACCATCAGGCAAGTTTTCATGAGTGCCATGAAACTGGGTTACTAAGGACAATAAAGATGGAAATTTGACACAAAAGCATTTTTGGATTTCTGTCAATAAGCAACTGTGACAGGTCAAAGGTTGGTTTTATCTGTCTAGATGACTAGACTTGAGGACATTCAGTTGCCTCTCTGTGGGCACCATGTTTTTTGCTTGTAGGTTTTTATAAAACCTTCCCTTTGCCAATCTGTTCCTCAAGTGATTTTATGAGTAAAACTTAAGGGGGGAAAAAAGGAAAGAAATGAAGCAGCCCTTGTCCTTTTTAGCTACCACTCTGAGATAATTGTTCTCAAACTTTAACCTATAGCAGAATCACTTGGCGCTCTATTAGCAACACTTAGTAAAAATAAATGTCTTTAACATTTTTACGTGTTCAAGTGGAAATACCACTCAATGTATCAGTTCACTTTAAACAGAAAATTAACAGCCAATGAAAGCGAGATTGATTTCTTCTTGCACTGCCTTGGCCATGGTACAATGATTTTATTTGATTTTCATTGGGTTATGAGAGTGCCCCAGTGAACAGAGTTTAAAATCATGGACCACCTTTAATTCTGCCCCTCATTATAACATGACAGGAGGTGCTAAAGATAATGTGAGTGCTGGTCTCTGAGTACACAGTGACAAAGAGTTTCCTAGAAATTAAGCTCATAGCAACTCTAATTGGTTCACGTGATGAGTTGATTTTTGTTGATTGCAGTTCCTCACTCAAAGCATATGCTTTCTCTTTTAGTTTCATGGATACAATATGGGAGATATACCCACCCAAATCTCAGGAACAAATTATTATCTGTATCCTTCAGATGGAGGACAGATTGAAGTAGAAAAGACAACATTTGAAAAAGGTACATTTGGAAAGCAGCATTAAATGGCTTGGAAGCTACCCTTTTCAGTCACCTTGGGCCCTTCTACTCCTGAATGTAATAGGTGAGAGTGGTCATGTGCCCACTCCATTCAACATTTTCACACTCAGATTCTTCTGTTGTAATTGACTCTGTGAGTCACAGGCCACCTGAGAGGTTAGCTGGGACACACAAATAGAAAGTTCCAGTTGTTAAAATATTTAAATATTTCTATATCATTGGGAAATAGTGTAATATCCAAGCACATAACTGTGAGGTTAGAGCAAATTTCTTGTTTGGGCTCTGGAGCACAGAGCTTGGGAGCCTGCTGCCGGTACCCAGTTATTGTAGCAGTAAGAAACTGCTGCTGGATTTAGAAGTCTTTAAGAGAGCGAGGGACAGGTGGGCTGCCGAGGACCCAGTCTGGAAGACCCTAAAGCAAAGTGCAGATATAGCCTCAGGGAACTGTCTGAGCATCTTGCAAGGCTTATCTTTTCATTGTGCTTTAAAGATTCCTCAGGTGGGTTTGAGGACCTGGGCTTTATTTGACAGCTTATCATCTGATAGGGAGCAGTAGTCTCTGAAAGCTGTGGAGGGATGTGAGCAGGACCCTGTTTAATGTCCACAAGATTATGTACACAGTCCAGCCAGTGTGGCTCAGTGGTTGAGCACTGACCTATGAACCAGGAGATCCTGGTTCGATTCCCAGTCAGGGCACATACCTAGGTTGCAGGTTCCATCACCGGTTGGAATGCATATAGGATGCAACAGATCGATGTTTCTCACATTTATGTTTCTCTCTCTCTTCCTTCCTCTCTCTTTTTAAAATCAGTAAAATCATGTCCTTGAGTGAGGATTTAAAAAAAGGCCTGAAAATTATTCATATTATTTAAAGAATGGTTTGTGATATAACATCAAATGCCAGACTGTTTTATTATATAAGGTTTGTTTACTTAAAACATGAAAAAGATTTTTATTAATCTATAAGTATGCATATTTACTTATGCTATCATATGTACTAATATTTAATATTTTAAATATCATCTCTGGGTATACTGTACAATTATTATTAATTAGAATTGGAATTGGAGCTCAGAATCACATACCTAAGAAAAGCACTGGACTCAAGTTTTATAATGGTATTTGTAATAGTATTTTCAATAATTATTTCTCACTCCTACCAAGATTTTTATACATATACAGTAGATATGCTTCAGATGGTTCATAGTAAATGTAGTGTTTTTATCCTAATTTTATCAATTTTGAGAGATAATAGTGCAATCACACTGAATTTAAAAAAAGAAGAAGAAGACTGAGAGAGGAGATAAAAAATGAGTCAGGCCCTAACCAGTTTGGCTCAGTGGATAGAGCATTGCCCTGCGGACTGAAGGGTCCCAGGTGCGATTCCGGTCAAGGGCATGTACTTTGGTTGTGGGCACATCCCCAGTAGGGGGTGTGAAAGAGGCAGCTGATCGATGTTTCTCTCTCATTGATGTTTTTCTCTCTATCCCTCTTCCTTCCTCTCTGTAAAAAATCAATAAAATATATTTTTAAAAAATGAGTCAGAACACTAGAAAAATGTATTGTTAGGAAAATTCTTACTAATAATAATAACTACTATAATATTTATGTAATTCTTTACAAGTTGCCAAACCCTTTCATATTAACTATTTCATGTGATTAAAGTTGAGTATAAGTATTCGTTAGCCTCAGCCAATTCATTTTGTCTTCTGTGATTTGATTTGAGATGTGATTAGAAAGGCTGCAAATATCTCCCCCATCCACCTGCCATCTATTCCTGGATTTCACCATTAGGCATCTTTTTTATGAAAATGGGGACATCCCTAGGTATTTCCATTCCCTAACTGATTCTGTGCTGCATTATTTTGATGTTTTGCCAAGAAGCTTAACAGGGCATCACAATCAGCCCATCTTCTATCCCATGATTCTTCCCCAGGATCAACTTTTATCAAAGTGAAAGTGAAAAAGGACAAACATAATTTTATAATTCATCTGAAAGACCCTAAGAAAATTGTGAAAAAGGAAAAAGAAGTGGATTATTCTTCAGAAGATGAGGAAGAAGCAAGAGAGGGAGAAAAAAATATTGAACTAGGTAAGCAGAGGCATCTCTGGCAGTAGGTAGGGGTTATCTTTCAGCAATGTGTCCATCCCGTCCACCTGACAGAAATACATGTGTGCCTCACATTCAGCATGTAAGTTTCCCATCAGGGGAACTGAAGTGTTTTATGATTCTGGTTATATACATTCCCCTGTTGTAATATGTATATACATTATATACATGGCCCATCTTTAGTGGGCTGCTTACTTGGTTTTGCCCCCTCTGGAGACCCAGCTTTTGATTCCAGTTGTCATATAGAGTCCTCCTAGCCTGGCTACCTTTAGCAACACTGAGTTTGCAATGTCCATTGTGGCCTGAATTTTGCTGTATGCGCTTGTATCGGGTCCTCATTAGTTGACTCCTACTGAAGGTTTAACTTCTCTCCAATATTCATTGTAAATGAAAGGTTTCCTCATATGCTCTCACTATTATTTAGTTCTCTCTTTAGTATCAAATTTCTTAAGTTGCAGGAACAAGAGAAAAATCCTAAATTTGGCCAGAAGAGTCTACACCTGCCAGTAGATGAGACTTCCAAGTGGATGTCCATTGATTGTACACCACGAAACTTCCTGATAATACCATTTAACATTTCCAGGAAACACCTAATGGGGAAATTAATTGATTCTTGCCCAATGTGATGAGGGTTACACGTGAAAAATGAGATGAGTTCATTAATAAAATGTTTTGGACTCAAGTTAGTAATAAGAAACATAACTAAGTCTTGCTAATAAATTTACCTATGATCACAGTATTTTTCAAACTTATGAACACAATGTTTGACAAGTTTGAATGTTCCCAAGAATTTAAAGAAAATTGTTAAATTATCTTTGTTTTTTCTTAATGTAAAAATATGTTTATTATAAAGCATTAGGAAATATAGCAATATTTAAAGAACGTAACAGTGGCTAATAAGTCTACCATCCCAGCAGTAACCACTATTCATAGTGTGTTCCTTTCTTACTTTATTATCATGAGCATTTTCTTATTCATTCAATGTTCTTCGAAAACAAGCTTTTTAAATGTTTTCATTTTAATTCATTGGTATATATATATATATATCATAATTTACTTAATCATTTTCATGTGTTTGCATATTTAGTTGATTTCCACTTTGCATTGTGTTTTGCTTACATTTCTTTTTAATAAAATGGAAATTTCCTTGCTTCAATTTTGTCTTCCAGAAGAATCAAATGCAGAGAATAAAGCTGTCAGCAAGTCTGGATCTTTTTCTGCCACCTTGGAAAATGGAATCTGCCTCTCCATAAGTTACTATGGACCTAGCGGAAATGCGCCAGGTGAAGTAGACACGATAGAATGGATAGTGTCGCATGACCAAGGGTGTCTGCCCGTCCTCAGTCTGCTCACTTGTTGAGAAACATGTTCTGATGTAATGCCTCTTATCTCCTGAAGAGTCAGAATATATGTGGATGTGCATACATATATGTGTGTATATACATAGAAAATAACAGCACTTTGAAATAACATTTATCATATAGAATCTTATAATCACATAGACATATTAGATCATATATACACACATATATATTACAGTTATCTTTGTTAACTAGCCCATGAAAATAAGTCTGTTATTTGGTGCCAAAGAAAGCATGGTTTGCCAAGGAATCCTCTTGATTTTCTACAAAATAATATTTCTATGAATCCTGTGATTACAGAACTACTCATTGTGCCTCAGAACATTAGGCTTAAAGGAGCCATTCATTGGACATCTTGAAGGATTTCTTTACCCCACTTTTAATAAACAAATTTTCCAACTGGAAGTTATTTCCTTACAAACCACAAAATAATATGTTGCTTTACCAAGAACTAATTAGAAAATCTTGTGGGTTCCCATGCATTTACAGGGATCTAACCACAACAGATTTTTTTGAAGTTTTAGAAAATAAAAAGATAATCCCTATGCTATATTGGCTTAAAACTGTGTAGATCGTGGTAATTTAATGATCTGCATTACTATGGACTTCCGTTTCTGCAGACACACATTTCCGTGGATGATTATAATCCACGGCCTTATATTGTGCCAAATATTGTAATCTCTACTGAGTTAGGGAGCCCTCTACATTGTTAGTATTTTTGTTTCGTTGGCTACCCTGTTCCTGTTGTGCCTGTTAGTTCCTTGAATGAACTATGCTTTCTCTTATCTATAAACTGCTTTCTTTTATCTATAACACACATCTCATGCTGTGTCACTTGCTCACAACACATTCTCCTCCTACATACACCACCACTTTCAACAATTAAATTTCCTCCCACACTTCAGGTCTCAGCATGCAGGTTACTTGCACTGAGAAATGCTGTACAGATCAAGCAGCAGTAGCGTGTGAACTGGGGTTTTTAGGGGTGAGTGAGAATTGCCTAGGCAAAGAATCAAAGGCAGGGAATTCTAGGTGCCAGGAAACGTGTGTACCAACTATGTAGTATAGTTGGACTTTATGGAAAGGCAACTTTATGGAAAGGCAAACTATATACAGTAGAGCCAACGTGTAGGTTGAATGAAGGCATTTGTGTTAGATGACCTCTCTCCTAGGTTCCTATAGTGCTCTGCACTTCCCATCAGAGACCTAACACACAACATTGTACCCAGAGGTTTCTTCTTCTGAACTTCCCATTAGTGCCTTGTAGTCTCACTCATCATTGGCTATCCAATTTATGGTACATAGTACTAGGTATTCAATCAATATTTACTGAAAGAGTATCTGGATGAGAATGAGAGGGAGGAGTTTCCAGCTGCCTGTAACTGGGTGCCATTTGCTTATTTATATGTCTACTGTACTTCTAATGGGTCAGACATAGAGAAATAGAGAAATAACTGGGCCAGTGGTAGAAATTATGTGTAAAGATAGTACTGGGAACAGCTACAAAATACTTCAGACAGAAGGTAAAGCATCTGAGATGGGACTTTAGAGAGAAGTGGGGATTATCCAGACAAAGCAACAAGGAAAGGGAGTCCTAGGCAGTTAGAACCATTTATGTAAATACTTAGTGTGTAAAAGCAGGGCATCCTTACAGAGCAGTGAAAGGCTGAATGTGGCTGGAGTGAAGGAAGGTGAACACTGCATGCCTGGGATGATTAGGGAGTGGCAGAGGTCTCTAAGTAAGGGACGCAAAGTTAAATGATCAGATTTCATTTTAGGAACATAATCTTAGTGATATTTTGGAAAGTGCACTGAAATGGTGGTATTGGAGGTGCCAGATACCAATTAGGAAACTACTGCAATAATCCTATATAATAAAAGGAAAATATGAAAATTGAGCCTAAGGGCAGAATGACTGGGAATGACCAGTCGCTATGACACACACTCACCACCAGGGGCAGACACTCAACACAGGAGCTGCCCCCTGGTGGATAGTGCACGTCCACAGGGGGAGCGCCGCTCAGCCAGAAGCTGGCTCATGGCTGCCCAGTGCAGCAGTGGGAGCCTCTCCTGCAGTAGTGCTAAGGATGTCCGACTAACGGCTTAGGCCCGCTCCCCGCCTTCCAAAGGGCTCCTGGGCTGCCAGAGGTATGTCTGACTGCCAGCTTAGGCCTGCTCCTAAGCCGTCAGTTGTACATCCCCCAAGGAGCCTGGGCTGAGGTACCTGCCTCCCTGAGTGCATGATTTTCGTGCACCAGGCCTCTAGTTAAGTATAAGAAAATGAGAATCTGTGCTAAGGTGCTAAGATTAGATAGGAGAGGCATGATTGGAGAGACATTTCCCAGGGCTTGGAGACTGTTTGGATGTATAGGGCCCTGGTCGGCAAACTACGGCCCATGAGTCACATGCAGCTCTTTGGCCCCTTGAGGGTGGCTCTTCCACAAAATACCGACTTCTGCGCATGGGCCATGAAGTTTCAATCGCATTGTACCTGCACGCCCACACATGGTATTTTGTGGAAGAGCCATACTCAAGGGGCCAAAGAGCCGCATGTGGCTTGCGAGCCGCAGTTTGCCTATACTATAGGATGAATCAAAAGGAGAAAATGTGAATGATTTGAATGTCTAACTTGGGAACAGGGTGTGTGATTAGTAGCGGCATTGAGAGGGGTGCCCAGCTTGGGAGAGGAGAGATTTACTGAGTTTGAAATGTGTCCAGTATCACCACCAGGGGGAGATATCTAATAAGTAGTTGGAAATAAGGATCTGGGGCTGAGAAAAGAAAGGCCAAGTGTGGAGATGTAAATTTTGGAGTCATTAGCAGTACATCGATGGCAGTTGGAGCCCTGGTCCTGAAAGAGATCACTCATGAAGAGACTCAGCCCTGGCGAGCATTACAACCACAAGTGATGTTTCACAGATATAAATGCCTGGGCCTCATTCCCAGAGAGTCTGATTCAGTAGGTCAAGGGGGGATCTGAGCATTTGCTGGTTTTGTTGTTGTTTTGTTCCATGAGTAATTATCATGGACAGCCAGAGTAGAGGACATCTGTTGTATAAGGATAAGGGGAAACCCTCTGAAACTAGCAACATTTAACAGATTGACAAAAGAGGAAGAATCAGGAAAGGAGACTAAGAACAAAATGGACCCAAGAGAGAAAAAAGGAGATTCAGGTGGGAGTGTCAGCCTGGAACCCAGAGGAGGATAAAGTTCAAGATGTGAGGAACACAGTTTCTCCACAGATCAGCTCTCCTTTTAGAATTCTGACAATTTTTAAAAACCCAAATAAAATCAATCTGCTATGAGAAAATGTCTTTTACCATCTCAACTAGAAATTGTCTTTCTTGAATGTCCTTGTTTGTATCCCTTATTATGTTACTATTTAATATGTCCTTGTATTGAAGGTATTTGAGTGCAGATCTTATTTTGACTATTTCAGCTTTGTAAGTTCTTTTACATATTTTTTTATTTGTCACTACTCCACATATTTTGTATATGATAGTCTCTCAATAAATATGTCTCCATTAAATGAAGAGATGGTTACTGCTCTATCAATATGCCTTTCAAATGTAGATAGAAAGGCAAGAACATGTGAAACAATGACTCCATCAAATATATAATTGCATTAAGTACCTCAAATATTTCATCTATAATGCTGATTTTCAAATCAACTACATTATACCTGAAATCTATCCAACTAATAAGTCACATTCAGCAAGGTAAAAATTGTTGTCAACTTGTATAAATGAATGAGATGTAAATTTTATTTAATAAACATATGTAATATGAATGTCTAATTTCCTTGTTTTCTTCTTATAGAGGAGAAGGATCCTCAGTTGGAAGCAATGTTGAATATCCCATCAGCACTTCTTCCAACAGTAATTCCTGTTATAGTGCCAGTTCCTCAAGTCAAAGGAAAAGGGAAAACAAAAGTCAAAGAAAAACACAAAGAATCTATTAAAGAAGAGGAGCACCCAAAAGAAGAAGAAAAAAAGGTGAGTGGACCTTGCCATGGATTCTAAAATGTACTTCTGCCTCAGTGTCAGCTCTTTAAAAATCATGAGTTACATCAATGTATTTTAACTTTCCTGTCTTTATAATCCCCCCATCTTTCACAATTGCTATTTTTAATATCTAAGAACTCTTGAATTTTTTCCATAACAACTTTTAATTTATTGATTGATTTGGAGGGAGCGGGGAGAGAGAGAGAGAGAGCTCTTTTGTTCCGATGTTGATTCTTGGGTACATGGGCACATGGCCATAGTTATCACTGAGCCCCCTTTCCTTTCTTGGTGCTCTGCCTGGTAAGATGAGAAGCGAGAAGTCTCATTGAATTTTCTCCTCTGAAGTGAAATTATAATATTCTACAAACCGCTGCAATCTCACTGTGGCTATTCATTTGCTCCTCAGGTCTTTCCATTGTTTGTAATCAATATTAAAGGACTAGTTAGAATAAACTGAAGATCCAGCAATGGGAGGTCAGTGGAATGATTTTAGTGGCTAACAAAAGAAAGCCAAGTGGAAAGACAGAAATTATCATTAGGGATTGGATGTGTGCTCCAGAATAACTTTCATTCCAGAGCACACATAACCAAACAAGGTGTTCAGGCATAGCTGGCATAAAATTAATTAGCATTTTTAAGTAGATACAACCAAATGCTCATTCATTTATAAATAGTTTTTTAATTATCTATTATTTTCACTTATTTTTATGAATACAAAATCAATGTGTGTTCATTATAGAAAAATAAGGACACATATCCTGATAGCATAATGTCTCTAGATTTCAAACTTTAGCAATTGCACAAAAAAGATATCAGGGAGATTGGTCTGCCCTTACACCTACATATGCAAACAGAAGCCTCTATCAAAGCCTAATTCAGGCCCCAGCTCCTCCATGACTTTTTCTCTAATTATTGGCATATTGAAAACTCCCTTTAAAATATATATAGTTTTATTGATTTCAGAGAGGAAGGGAGAGGGAGAGAGAGATAGAAACATCAGTGATTAGAGAGAATCATTAATTGGCTGCCTTCTGCACATCCCCTACTGTGCCCTTGACCTGAATTGAACCCAGGTCCCTTTAGTCCACAGACTGATGCTCTATCCACAGAGCATACCAGCTAGGCCATAAACTCCCTTTTCTGAGGAAAGATGTATCAACCATTTTAGTACTATTTAACTGTTTCACATATCTGTGTGCCATTCTACAAGCAGGTTGTAAGTTGCATAAAGGGTGGAGACTCATTATCCTTACAAGGCCTTATCGTCTTCGGCAAGTCATATCTTAAGCATTCAGCAAGTTTTTGCTCAGTCATAATAAATCAATAACTAATTTATAAAAAGATGAGCAATTATTCACATGCGAAATTATTTACAGGAAGAAGTAGAACCAGAACCTGTTTTACAAGAGACTGTTTTTGTTCCCACCTTCCCAAACCTAAATGTGTCTTGCCCCAATGGACTCCTAGTGACCTTCACTGGGCAAGAGTCAACAGGTGAGTGCTAACTGGGTCGGGTAGGGAGGCAGGGGAGCAAAAAGTCATGTAGAAGACAGTTAAATCACCATTGAAATTGTGTATCTTCCTGCCTATTATACACACTTGTTGATAATGAACAATAGGATAATAGATATAATAATCATTTTTTTAAAATATTTTTTATTGATTTTAGAGAGGAATAGAGAGAGAGAGAGAGATAGAAACATCAATGATGAGAGAGAATCACTGATTGGCTGACTCCTGCATACTCCTTACTGGGGATCGAGCCCGCAACCCAGGCATGTGCCCTTGACTGGAATTGAACCCAGGATCCTTCAGTCCGCAGAGCGATCCTCTTATCCACTGAGCCAAACCAGCTAGGGCTATACTATGGACCAGGAACTATCTAAGTACTTACCATATATGACAAAATACAACTATAAGCTAAGTCCTAATAATTCTATTTTACAAAATAAAGAAAGTGAGGCTTCAAGAGGTCATTGCCCAAGTCATTCAAGTCCTATGTGAAAGAAATAAAATGCCATTTTGGTTTAGTCATGGCAAAGCAAGTGCTCTTAACAACTACTGTGTGGCTCTATCTTCCTGCTTCTACAATGGGCCACAGATATAGTATTTTGCTGGTCTGGTCAAAAGAAAGTACAGTGAGATAAGTGCAGGTTAAATGATGAAGAAAACCTGTCTTATTCCCAGGTCAGTATATAATTTTATAGTCTATTATTTCTATTGACTTTGCATATGGCTCCTAATCTATTAAGATGATTAAGTACAAGTGGGGCTTTTTTAATTAACCTGATGGGGCATTGAATTTGAATATTATTTACATGGAGACCCACTATTGCTGTAGAAGTAGGGAAGTGCAGCAAAGCAAGCACTGAACTAGGACTTGAGTTCTAACCAACTCCATGGCCCTTTCAATTATTGCCTTTGAACCATGTTTTTTCATCTGGTAACTATTATATCAGTGGATCCTGATTTTTTTTCACAACCAAATATCATCTTTATTATAATTCCCTAATGTATACCATATTTGAAAAGTGTAGCTATCAAAGGATAAGAGTATCCTATTAAAAATAATTTAATGTCATATTTACTTGCCAGACAAATGAAAAGAAACTAGATGTAGTTGATCTCTTTTGTCTCAATATCACTTTTCATTAGGCTTTATATATTATTAGAAATAGACCATGGACTCTTGTTTCTATTTACAAGGATTCTTAGTGGTCTGAGTTCTCCGTGAGGGGACCCAAAGTGTATGCTACCAAGACTAATGGCCACTAAGGTCTTTCGAAGTTAAAGATGCTATGAGTGTACTATGAGAGATGTTTTCAAGTTCAAGGACATTTTGTTTATTTGCTTATTTATTTGTTCCTGTTATCAAACCCCAACTTAATACCTGTTTCACCTGTCTTTTCTATTAGTTTTATTATATAGTCTAACATTTTCATCCTTATGTCTAGGCAGACAATGGGGTTAATAATGACTCTGCCTGGAATACATAATCTTTTAAAAGTCTTTCATATATTGTAAATATCCTAATTTAAGCTTGAACATAACTACAACATAAACAAAGTAGCAATACCTTCGTGAGGGTCAGCCTTGGACATAGGCAGAGAAGTTCACACGAGTGACTTCCCCTGGGGCTCCAGGCAACCAGGGCACTCGAGAGGAGCATTGTGGGCATCCAGAGTTTACACTCAGGTGACAGAAAAGGTGACATCTAAGGCAGCATTATTTTGCTTCTTTCCTAATTTTGCCCTGAGATGTCCTGGACTTCATTAGAGAGAATGGCTTACACATGGGGAAGGTACCTATTAAGTGTGTGTAGATGACCTTACTACATTTGACAAAGGCAGCAAAGAACCAGTACTCTGGGCCTCTGTCATATATGGAAACTGCCCTATTACTTATATATCGACAAAAGAATAATAATAATTTTAAAAAAAACTAAGCAATAAGATAAAATCCCAGCCACACAGCATTGCCCAGTTCACAGTAGGCTTCCTTTTTCTTTAAGATAAATATGTTAAGGATGAGGATCCCACTTGGGACATCATGGTCCGACAGAGCTACCCCCAGAGGATAAAGCACTATGACTTCTATAAAACGGTGCTGCCCCCAGCGGAGCAGGAGGCATCGAGGGTTATCACCAGGCAAGGCACTGTGGTCAAGTATATGCTGGATGGATCCACACAGGTAAGAGGATGTGAGATAAAGTACTCTTTCCTGCTGCAAAGTAAAATACAAACAAGCTATGGGTAAGGAATAGTACTGTGACATAGAAGAGAAACAACTCATTTGAAAATAGAATGACACTTGAAAATGACAAATAAAAAGTAGTATAGTGAGAAGAAAACACACTATCTGTGCCATACAGGATACAAATAAACATATCATTCTACATATGATCCAAGATTGTAGACTGAACACAGAGTTTACTTTCTCTCCCTCTCAAAGCACCTTAAAATACTAGAAAAATACTTTTAAATAGCAAATTCATAACTGTACTAGAGAACAACACAATGTGTCATCAGTGGATCGGAAGGCTTAGAGGATTGCTAAAAAATTCAAGTCAGATGGAATTCAAATGATGGAGAAACAAATGCAAAGTTTAAAACATATTAAAAACAAGACCACTAAAATTTTTTAAATGGGAGTTTTAACACAGATGTTTCACAAATGGAGCTCTGGGCTCAGAAATCAGGGCAGTGCCCCAGGTAACTCACTGCTACCTGGAGGGTGAAACCAGAAACCATAATACCCAGAAGCCATGTGCCCTGCTCCATCCCTCCCCAAGGAAGAGCATCCTCTGACCACATATGGCCCCAAGAAGGGAGAGGGGTTCTGAGTGAAAAATATGGCCATGTACCCCAATCACCACCTTTGGTACAGAAGATGGATGTTTCTCTCTCTCTCTCTCTCTCTCTCTCTCTCTCTCTGTCTTCAATAAAAGTTGCTATGGAAAAAATAGAGTTCTTAGATATTAAAAATAACAATTGTGAAAGATGGGGGGGAGGCTGGATTATGAAGAACAGATAAGTTAAAAAACATTGAAAGGAATCTATATGATTAAATTTCCAGAAGAAGAAAATGAAGTGGGGGGGGGATAATGAAAAACAATATAGTAAATTTTCCTAGAGCTTAAAAAATACTTTAGATTAAACAGGACTACCAAGTACCAATCAGGATTGATACTAATTGTTTAAAGATTACTTAGATACAAATGCAAAGTTTAAAACATATTAAAAACAAGACCACTAAAATTTTTTAAATGGGAGTTTTAACACAGATGTTTCACAAATGGAGCTCTGGGCTCAGAAATCAGGGCAGTGCCCCAGGTAACTCACTGCTACCTGGAGGGTGAAACCAGAAACCATAATACCCAGAAGCCATGTGCCCTGCTCCATCCCTCCCCAAGCATGTGCTTCCTCTGACCACATATGGCCCCAAGAAGGGAGAGGGGTTCTGAGTGAAAAATATGGCCCCATGTACCCATCACCACCTTTGGTACAGAAGATGGATGTCTCTCTCTCTCTCTCTCTCTCTCTCTCTCTCTCTCTCTCTGTCTTCAATAAAAGTTGCTATGGAAAAAATAGAGTTCTTAGATATTAAAAATAACAATTGTGAAAGATGGGGGGGAGGCTGGATTATGAAGAACAGATAAGTTAAAAAACATTGAAAGGAATCTATATGATTAAATTTCCAGAAGAAGAAAATGAAGTGGGGGGGGGATAATGAAAAACAATATAGTAAATTTTCCTAGAGCTTAAAAAATACTTTAGATTAAACAGGACTACCAAGTACCAATCAGGATTGATACTAATTGTTTAAAGATTACTTAGATATATCATAGTACAATTTTAGGACTGCATAGTAGACAATCCCAAAAGCTTCCTGAGGAAACCAGTTACATATAAAAGAATTAAGATGGACTTCTTATTAGCAACACTGACAGTTCTTTTTTTTTTATTATTACAAAGGGTATTACATATGTGTCCATTTTTTCCCCCCGCCCTAGACAGTCCCCTAGCCTCCCCTATTCCCCAGTGTCTTATGTCCATTGGTTATGCTTATATGCATGCATACAAGTCCTTTGGTTGATCTCTTACCCCCCTACCTCCCGCCCCCGAACCCTCCCCGGCCTTCCCGCTGCAGTTTGACATCCATTCATCTACTGATGGGCACTTAGGCTGTTTCCAGATCTTAGCTATGGTGAATTGTGCTGCTATAAACATAGGGGTGCATATATCCTTTCTGATTGGTGTTTCTGGTTTCTTGGGATATATTCCTAGAAGTGGGATCACAGGGTCAACACTGACAGTTCTTGTTCTGTTATTTGGGAGGCTATCAGTACTGATACTGGATAGAGTATGTATCAATAGTGCCTCTGGATACAATATATACTAGATAGATACTGATAGAAACTAAGCATTTAAATATGTGATAAAGTTTTAAATGTAGTCAGAAAAATTGAAACTGGATAATTTCCCAATTACATAGGGGAAGGGTGAATAAAGAAAAAAACATTTTAAAAAGTCAATCTAATAAAAGACAGGAAATAAAAAAAGAAAAAAATAGCATAGAAGGTAAGTGGAAAACAAAGTAATATGTTTGTGCTGGTTATGAACCTGTAGACTCTGAGTTCCAATGTTGAGTCTGGAAGTCTGCAAATAGCATTTCTGTGGATTCATTTTAATCTATTACAGCTTCACCCACACTGTTAATTGTTAACCAGCCTCTTCCCTGCTTCTGAGAATGCTGGATTTATGCTTTTCCTTCAGATTCTCTTTGCAGATGGCTCTGTGAGCAGTAGTCCCGATTCAGGGCCTGTTTGTCCTCCTGTTGAAATGTCAGTAACTCCTCACAGTGGAGACTTGATGGACTCGGTTTCTCAGCAAAAGTCAGAAACAATACCATCAGATATTGTCATCCCAAAGAAAGGTAATAACCAAAGCCTCCAGTGGATTTAATAGATTTTTAAAATACAGGGTGGAGCAAAAGTAGGTTGCAGTTGTTTGTATGGAAATAATACAATAATTAATAAATAATAATATAAAAATAAACTTTGTTTTGCATACTCATACTCACAACTGTAAACCTCCCTATGCCTTCCTCTGTATTAAATCAGCTAATTCTCATATCAACCCTATGAAGTACATATTTTAATGATACCAATTTACAGATGAGGAAATTGAGACATGAGACACAGAGAAGTAACTTCCTTGAGGTCTCTCAGCTAGTAAGTGGTAGAGCTGGGATTTGCATCTGAGCAGCTAACCTCTGACTCACACTGTCTTTCATGTGTTACAATTTTTTCTCAATTTCTCATAGGCCTTTAATGATCTGAGACCAAGATTTAGTCTTTTTGTCAATTTCACACATCGCATCACAGTGCCCTGTAATCTTGTATGGAAGCAAAGTGAATTCCTTTTTCGTTAACTCAGAATTTAGTGAAGCAGAGTTTCCTTTGGCAGTAGCAGAAGGCCCCTGGTAGAAGGGAACTGAGGGCTCCCTGTAGCTTTCTAAACTTCCAGGCTCAAAGGCTCCCTCTCTTGTTGATTCCAGGACTTGGTGTGCAGGTAGTCTGTGTAGCCTCTTCTCTAACGGCCCATCCTGGTTCCAAAGGGCTCCTGCCTCCAGCAGGTGTACTCCAGGTTTCTTCACAGCCCTTCCATCTAGGGCAATGCATTCGCTTTTGTTTTTTCTTAACTCATGTGTTTTTAGGGAAATTTTAGTTGTACAGAGAAAAATGAGCAGAAAGCACAGTACAGGGAGTTCCATATACTTCCTCTCTTCCTGCCTCTCAATTTTCCCTATTTTTAAGATCTTGAAAGTATAGTACATTTGTTACAATTGATGAACCAGTATTGATACATTATTATGAACTCAGGTCCGTAGTTTACAGTAAAGTTCGCTTTTTGTACAGTTCTATGAGGTTTCACAAAGAATAAAGCCATGAATCCACCATTAGAGGGCACACAGTAAGTTTCATCACCCTGAAAATCCCCTCTCCTGCACTTACTCATCCTTCTCTTCTCCTCCAACCTGAACCATTCCTCACAACCACTGATCTTTTCAATGTCTCTGTAGTTTTACATTTTCTACAACCCATATAGTTGGAATCCGTATGTAACCTTTTCAGATTGGCTTATTTCAGTTAGTAACATACATTTAAGATTCCTTCTGGACTTTTCATGGCGTGAAAGTTCATTTGTTTTAATTAACAGAATAACAGTCTGTTATATAGATGCAAAATTTTTTTTATCCATTCACGTTTTGATGGATATCTAGGGTGACACAAAAGTAAGTTCACAGTTGTTCATATGGAAAATAATTCAGTAACTAATAAGTAATGCCATAAGAATAAACTCTGTGTTTCATGTACTCACAGCTGTATGCCTCCTTTTGCCCTACTCTGGATTGGTGGTGTCCAGTGTTTTGGCAATTGGGATGAAGCTGCTTTTACACATTTGCATGCAGGTTTTTATATGAACAATAGAGGCCCAGTACATGAATTCATGCATGGGTAGGGTCTGGCCAGCCGGCCCTGATCGGTGTGGGGGATTTAGATTGGGGGTAGGACCTTCCAGGGGGACGGGCCACAGTCATTTGGCTGGCCAGCACTGCCCCCGATTGCAGGGGGGGGGGGTCCTGGAGGTAGGGCCAGCCAGCCCCTCCCCCTGGTCAAACTCCCTGTCAAGAGGGACAATTTGCATATTAGCCTTTTATTATACAGGATATTTTCAGTCATTTATATAAATACCTAGGAGCATATTCCGTATATGTTTAGCTTTGTAAGAAACTGCCAGACTGTCTTCCAAAGTGGCTATATCATTTTTACATCCCCACCAGCAATGTTTGAGAGTTCCTGTTGCCCCACTTTCTTATCAGCATTTGGTGGTGTCAGTTTTTTGGATTTTACCCATTCTAATTGGTCTGTAGTGATATTTCATTGTTGTTTTAATTTTAATCCCTAATGATATGCTTATTTACTAACCATATATTGTCTTCAGTGAGGTGTCTATTGATATATCTTGCCCATTTTTAAATTGGGTTGCTTTCTTAGATGCATCCATGATTAGAGGTTGTATTTTACCAAGTGCTTCCTAAACACCTGTCATGAAAGGACCGCCCCTATCCTGACCCCTGGCACATTCAAAGCCTTTCCTCTGCATTTTGTTCAGGATCCTGTTCCATTCATCTTAGATACTGCCCTCACGAGTTTGAAATTGGAAAGTGTGATCCAGAAGATTTAAACAAAACTCGAAGTGTGCAGAAATGGGCTAGAATACGTATGATGTCATAGAGAGTGAATTGTATATATGCATGTGTATATTTGGAGGAAGGTGACAAGAACCCAGCCAAAGTTCAAGTATCAAGATTAAGATATTCATGACCTGATATTTTCATCATTTGAGAAATAATATAATTGAGAAATACTACTTAGAATTTCTGTGTCACAATGTCTTTTATACTGAACTAAACAATGAATGATTCATATAATCGACATTATAGTTATATTGTTGTGTTTGATTTTACTTAAACTTCTGCAGGAAAAAGTCACAAAAATCAGTCTGCGGTGTTACACAAGAGTGAAATCCATGAACCTCCCATAGAAGCGGTTCACATAGTGACTCCAATGGAGACTCACGTGGGCACCTGGTTTACAACTACACCTGAAGGGAATCGGATTGGCACCAAAGGATCAAAAAAAATAGCAGACTTAGCACCATTTTTATCTTTTCAGGCCACAGATCCTGTCACCGGAACGGTATGGCAAACTGTTTATATTGCAAAATTACCTAAATCATGAGAATTTTGAAACAACACATAGAACAGTGCCTGAAAAGAGTAAATTTTCAATAACAATTTTTTAAATAGTTAATAGTGGGTAGGTTGGTGAGTGGGTGGGTGGGTGAGTATGTGGATGGATGGGTGGATGGATGGAAGGAAGAATGAATGGATGAATAGATGGATCTTTCTCCCCAAATCTAAAACATTTTGCCGTTTATTTAACCAGCATAGAACATCATCATAAAATACTAATTTTTGAAATGGAGACAGGTAATGAATTTTCTATACCACTCTTAAGACATATGATTAGTAATGTCATTATTTCCTTATGTTGAATGCATTTGTGTATATGTCTTACCTCATAGAAATAAGGGCCTATGTCTTATTCTTAATTCTTTGTTTGCACCTGATGTGAGTGGTAGGAATCTGTTCATGAACGTTGATTTCAAAGAACTTAATATATTTAAGAAAATTCTCACATTAAAAAATTCAAGACACCACAGAATAACTGTACAAAACATTTCATTTGTAGCATAAAAATAGGTACCTTATGAGTGATATAGAAAATAATGGTTTTATTTAGGATGTGAAATTGAAATTCCTCACATGAATAATAAATAGCACCTTCTATATGCAGGACTTTTTGTTAGGGATTTTGCAAACACTATCTCATTAGTCCTTACACCAATGAATATTGGTGCACAGATGAGGAAATTGAGTCTCAGCAAGTTACATAATATGGTCAAGAGCATGCATCCCGGAAGTGAGAGAGCCAGGATTAGAACAATCATTGGTGACTGAACACTGGGCTCCTTCTATCCCTCAGATAGTCCTCTGACACCTTATGTGGAGCTTTGCAACACCCTCTGAGTCTAAACAAGACGAAGAATTTCCTAGGTGTCTTATCTCTGGTTTGTGGACTTCCTATCCGTTTACAACCATGTGCTGCTGGTCAAAGCAAAATGTCTGCTTGCTGTTGAGATGACTTACATTATCCACTAGAACAGAAGAGATTATGGTTTAAAACTGACAATCAAACTACCAGAACACAATTGGCATTCATCTCAACTGCATTTCCTCAGCTTTAGGGAAGGATATCAGTGTGGTCAATGCAGCAGCCTCATCCAGCTGGGAGGCCCAGCCACCAGCTACAGACACTCCTTCTGCTACCCTCAGGCCCGCACATCACTGCGCAGCCACCCACAGGAGTATGTGAGGGTACGGACCAACCTGGCTCAGAGAAGCCTCAGCCCCTGCCCCCACCAATCCTCATGTTCTATTCTGATGACACGAAACAACCCACATAACATGCATGACAGGTTCAGCAAGCCACACTCACCTTCAATCTTTAATTTCCAAGGAAACATGACCTGGGGACATTTCCCCAGCCAGACCAGGATCAGGCCAGTCCTGATGTTAAATTTTCACTCACAAATATGTGACCATGAAAGGAGCATCAGTTTTGAAGTCAGAAGGCCTTAATCCAGCAGCAGCCCTGGCACTTGCCGGGTGACCTTGAGCAAGTATCTTAACCTCTACTCAACCTAAATGTTCTGCCTTCCAGGTTTGTTGTAAAGGTCAGACCAAGTAGATAAGATAAAGCTTCCACTTATAAATATATAACCAGGCGTTGATGGTATTCCCCAGGGTGTGAAAATGAGTGCACTTGGGATTGGCCACTGACCAAACGAAATGCCCTGCCTTTGTGTCCAGGTTATGACCACTCGGGAGGACAAAGCAATCATCGTGGAGAAGCAGGATGGCACGCGGATAGTGGACCATGCTGATGGGACCAGAATCACAACCTTTTACCAAGTTTATGAAGATAATTTTATTCGTTTGAGTGATCAAGAAATAAGTATGCTTTTTTTTTTTCAAGTATGTGACATTATTTTATAAGTCTCTAGAATTTGATAGGCAGAGAGATAGCAACTCTAGTTGGCTCATGGGTAGTAATAGTGGCTTTTCCATTTTCATTCCCAAAAACCTATAGTCTGCTATGGTGGCAACTAAAAGTTAAAAATCATGACTCAACTGTCCTGGACATTAGCTCTCAGACTTAATTTCTTAGATCTTTAAGGAATCAAATTTGAATAAATAGGTGAACTCAGCTAGGCCCCCCCTTCAATTTCAAGCATCCCTCAGGCCAGCTGCAGCTGCTAAGCAACTGGCACCTGTTCAAAGATTCTAAACGCCTACCAGCCTTCCTAACCTAAATCTGAACAAGATTTTTAGAGAAAAATTATTACCTGACTTCCTTTTCTTTAATTCCAGAGTTTATTTCATGCATTAATGCTTCATTGCCAAATTAAGTGCAATGAAATTGGCAAGTGAGTGGGAAAAGCGGAGTCTTTATGCCCCACTAGACAGAGTGATAATTAAGAGTCAATTGGGAGAGCAATTTAAAAATATCTAGGAAATTGTAAAGGTACCTATCATAGGATTCACTAACTCCATACCTGGGTAGATATAGAAAAACACTCTTATGCATTTATACAAGGAAATAGGTGCAGGGGTGCTATTTACAACACTGAGGATAATATTAAAATATTGGAAAGCATGAATGTCCATCAACAGCAGAACAGAAAAATAACATGTGGTATATACTTACAAAGGAATACTATATAGCAGCTGAAAGGAAAGAAGTGCACACACAATGTACATGTACACACAAATAAGTATATCAAAATGGCTAAAGGTCTCAAAACAAGGCTGAGAAAAGCAGTTGCAGAATGATACAGAGTAATATATAACATGCAAATTTAAAGCACACAAAATATTATACATTGTTTTGGTACGCATCTACACTAATAAAAGGAAAATACGCAAATTGACTGTACCTTGCCCAACAGCCGATCAGGAGTGAGTATGCAAATTAACCAAACAAAGATGGTGGGTTAATTTGCATACACAGGCGTCAAGTGGCCAGGGGCAGTGTGGGAAGGCAGAAAGGCGGCTCTGGCCAGAGTGAAGGCAGTGCCGGCAGCCAGGGGAAGGAAGGCCCATTCTTGCACGAATCTTCGTGCATCGGGTCTTTATATAAAAGTATACAAATGGATTGCAAGAGAAGGGAATAAACTGAGAATAAATTCTTATGTACATATTAAAAATGTTGAAGCAAATATAGCAGGATATTAACAAATGCAAATGTTGATTGAGTAGTTATGCTTTTCCGGATGTTTTCAATTTTTCAAAGTAAAAAGAGTAGTGAGAATTAAACAGCACACTACACCAAGTCTGAAAAGATCCTCTGGGATTATTGCTCTATGTTGCCAGGGAGAACCTGGGCACTCCTGCCTTGTGGAGTGAGCTCTCAGCACTCGGTCTCAACTTCCAGTCCAGGCAGCCAGGAGACAGGAGCAAAATTAGCAAGCAGCATGTTTCCGATGTGTGCATGCTCTCAGATCTGCTTGCCATGCATTTGCCCGCAGATGAAGGTCCTCAGGTGACTGCCACTAGGCAGGTGAAGTGCATGCGGATAGAAAGTTCACACTATGCCACTGTCATCACCAACTGCGAGGACAGTAGATGCTGTGCCACCTTTGGGGATGGGACATCTGTTATTGCAAAGCCACAGGGAACATACCAGGTAGGTCTTGGGGGAGAAGTGGCATTGGGAGGAGGAAAAGGAGTGCCAAAGGTAAATGTCCATTCAACTAAGAAAACCCACTGAACCAGGGCAGTGAGCATACCGGCCATGTGGACCCTCTTGAAGATGACTCCTGCCCAAGATCATGAAGGGTTCAACAGTTTAAATAGGGCCACGTGTTTTTGCTTCAGTTAAAATGTTTTTATTATTTTATATTAAACATCTGAAATAAGAAAGTACAGCAATTACTCGAAAGAAATAGTGAAGTAAGTAGATGAAATATGAGGACTTGGGACAAATTAGATGCTAATTATTCAGTGTACCTCCTTATCAGGTAGTCCTTCCCAAATCATAAATTCTCAGATTTTCTTCCTGGAAATACAGTTTGTGGCAGAGATCTGTGAATAATTTTTGTCCAAAAATGATTCTCCAAATTCCTTAATTTGATTAAGAAATTTTAAATAATTTCTCTCTTTCTGATACCCTTCCAGGTGTTACCGCCAAACACAGGCTGTCTCTATATCGATAGGGATTGTTCAGCTATATATTGCCATGAATCAAGCAGTGATATATACTACCCTTTCCAAAACCGTGAGCAGCTGAGAGCTAGCACGTACATCATGAAGCACACCTCAGAGGTTATCTGTCAGGTCCTGGACCCAGAGGGAAACACCTTTGAGGTAAAATGTATCATTAGTTTGGAAAGAGAGGCTATGGCTTTGCTTTTCAGCTATTTCACATGAGAGAGCCTCCACGTAGCTTTTTACCTTAGCAGCTTTAGAGTAATTTATCTACTAACTGCCAATACTTTGGGCAAGTGGTAGCGAATATCAGTATCTTTGATTATCAAGTGTACTTGCGTAGGGAATAGAAAGCCCAGCTATTGGAATGGTAGAAATGCTAAAGCCAAGTAATTAATTAGAACACAGTGGATGAAACAGTGGAAAAAACTAAACATCTATAAATAATGCCAACACAAAGGAATGGTGGAAGAGTGGTCTGTGTCCAGGGTAAAGTAAGAGCAAATGCATGGACAGCAGGCAGAGAATCCACGGTGAGAATTTCAGTTAATGAGGGTTCTGTGGGGATGAAGATAGGGAGGCGGGGGGGTGGGAGGGAGCCTGAAGTGGAGTTTAGCTACTCGGACAGAACTCTACCTTCTGTTTCTCTGTCCCTCAAAAGCACAACTACCCTCTTACCTCTAGGCCAGGCTTTGGCAAACCCTGGCCATTTGTTTGTATGAGCTAAAAATTGTTTTTATATTTTTTAGTGGTTAGGAAAACATCAAAAGGAGAATAATGTTTCTTGACACATAAAAATGACAGGAAAGCCCTAGCTGGCTTGGCTCAGTGGATAGAGCATTGGCCTGTGGACTGAAGGGTCCCAGTTTCAATTCCGGCCAAGGGCATATGCCTGGGTTGCAGGATTGTTCCCCAGTAGGGGGTGTGCAGGAGGCAGCCAATCAATGATTCTCTCTCATCATTGATGTTTCTATCTATCTCTCCTTCTCCTTCTCTCTGAAATCAATAAAGAAATATATTTTAAAAAATGACAGGAAATAGAAATTTCAGTATCTATCTATATCTATCTATCTATCTATCTATCTATCTATCTATCTATCTATCTATGCCTAAGTGACTGTTAAGACTGGTTGACCAGTCACATGACACACACTGACCACCAGGGGCAGATACTCAATGCAGGAGCTATCCCCTGGTGGTCAGTGCGCTCCCACAGCCAACTTCCCATGGTCCTTCCCCCCAGCAGGCTAGACCCGATCAACCCCAAGTGGGACTAGGTGAAAGGGCCCTGATCAGCCACAATCCCCAGCCAGGCGGAGGGACCCCACCCATGCACAAATTCCTGCACCAGACCTCTAGTCGTTATATAAAGTTTTACTAGAACACAGTGATGCTTACTGGTCCATGGCTGCTGGTCATGGAAGGGTAGAGTTGAGTAGTTACAACATAGGTTCTAGGGCCCACTAACTTTAAACTATTTACTATCTGGCCTTTGGGGGCGGGGGCGGTGGAAGAAGGTTTGTCAACCCCTCCTTTAGGCATTTATCTTTTTTTTTTTTTCACTCCTCACCCAAGAGTGGAATTTTGTGTGTTGGTGGTGCAGTTATTTTAGATTGGAACCATACCACAGGGTCCCTAACTTTGTTTTGTTATTCAGACAAGCCGTGATCCAGCTTGGTTTTTTTTGTTTTGTTTTTTTTTTGTACTAAGCAAATAAAGCTCTTCACAGCATGAATTTAGGCTCCTAACAAATTTAAATTTACAATGAATTTAAATTGAAAGCCCAGCCCTTCTAGGTTGAACACATGGGTTATCCAGGCCAAGCATTCTTCTAGGCGTTGATGCTCTTCTTGGCCATCCTCTATGGTGGTCTTTCAGCCTGGACTGCACTGCTTCCTGGAAAAACCCAAGCCATATCTAGACAGTAGTGAGGGCTAGCATGTTTCCTCTCATATTTATACTCAATCTGTTTCCCTACGTACTCTCTCCATGCATCCGAATTCTGTGCTTCGAGTCGCAGAATATAAACCTCTTCCATGCTGTCACTCTTTCAATCTTTCAAGACAACTAGCACATGACCAGCCTTTCCTCCATGTTTAAATCCCAGTTCCTTGAACAGATCCTCAGAAGGTTTGGAGACCTCTGCCTTCCTAGTCACCTTCTTCAGGGGATTTCTAGTTTTTCTAATTTGTTTTCACAGTCTAGGTGTGGTTTGTGAGTGAACATGTGCTATTAGGTTTCAATTTTATGCAATCTCTCTACTTAGTGAGAAATACCTTATAAATAAGTAAAAATACCTGATTTTCTGAGAATACAAAAAATCATCTACTTCTCAAGTGTGATCAGCAGAAATGTAAGCTTTATGGCATTTTTTCTTTCAGTTGCTAATATACTTTGTCCCTTAGGTCATGGCTGATGGTAGCGTATCAACTAGGCTACCTGAAATCAATTTGGAAGATCATTTAGATGCAAGTCCAGAAGGCTATGATAATTTATCATCTGCTCACCTTCATAAGAATCATCTGCAAATCTTTGGTGAACATGTCCCCAGGTAATACGATAAAAATAATACCAGGACTTTTATTTTTAATTTGGAGTTCAAGGGGCATTTTAACTGAATACGTCAAGTGATTCAATTTTTATTTCTTCAAATAGGTTTTTTGTTGTCTATGCCGATGGATCAGGAGTGGAACTTCTTCGAGACAGTGACATTGAAGAGTACCTGTCCTTGGCATACGGAGAACCAACTACCGTAGTTCTTCAAGAGCCAGTGCAGGAGCAGCCAGGTAGGAAGCCTACCAGGCTGGAGCTCACTGTGTCCCTTCCCAAACTCTCACCTTTCCTATCCAGTCCACGCCCAGGTCGTCTCTACTTTTTCCCTTTGCTCACTTTTCAATTCTACTTTTTACCTGACTGTGTCAACCTATATATATAGTTATTTGTGCTCAGACCAAGATTTATCTGAGCATCAACCTATGTAAACTGTGGAGGAGTCACTCTCCTACCCATATGCAGATTTGTATCTGTGTTTAAGTATGTTATGTATGTACCTAGGTTCCTATTTATGTGTTTGTTTAATCTTGGTAGAAAAAAAAGAAAAGTATGATATCCCCTGTAAGTTAATTTTCTGTCATTTTGACAGTGTTACCTTAATGAATTTAATAGAATAAAAAGAGAAAGTACATTTGATGTGTGAGTTAGAAAGCCAACTTGAAATATGTTTTGTCATGTATTCATTGGACATTTATATTACTTTCAATTTCAAAAAAAGTCTGTGAGTAAAGATTAGAGACACATATTGCATTAAGTTTGAATCATCTATGTATGTAATATGTGTATTTAAACATAGATATAAACTTGCATTTTATCTGTGTACCAAACTAATGTTCTAGTCTAAGTGTATGTGTGTGTGTTTTAATTTTTTCTCTGGTTGGTAGGATATATTTTGTGCTTATTTATAAATATACCTGCATCTGTGTGCAGTTAGATCTTTTAGTGTATCACATTGAGCGTCATGTCAGTCACCAGTGACTGATACTATACTTTCAGTCTGGAAGACAAAACAGGCTGGGCGCTTAACATAGTATCAGTGCACATGCTCTTTGTGAATGTGGAGAGTGGGGTGCTCTCACTGGTTGTACAGTGCATGTATGAAACTGTGTGAGAACAAGAATTCAAATTGCATTTAACTAGCACCTACTTGGTAACCCACCATGCACCAAACACTGGTTGGGTATTAGGGATACAGTGGTGAGCTAAGAGAGTATGGAAGGCTTCCCTGAAGACACTGGAACCAACAGCTGGCGGATATGTAGGAGTTCATTAAGATGGGAGGGAAAGCTATCTTAGAAGAGAGAATACAAAGCAGGAAGCATAAAACACTGGAGAAAATAGGGGAAAGACTGTAGTACCTGAAGCTCAGAAAGGAAGAATGGTGCAGGGTGAGGCAGGGGTGAGAAAATATTAAAAAAGACTCAGTTTTATCCTGTGAGCAATGGTAAGTCAATGAATAGCTGAAATCATGGCTTAAGGTAATCAGTCACCTTGACTGCTGGGGAAGGTTCACTCGCCAAGTAGATATGGGCAGAAAAGCTAGTCCTTGCTGCAATCCCAAATAGGATCTCTCGGAGGCGAATGATCTAAGGAGGGACAGTGGAGAGGGAAGAAGTGCTGAACTCCAGAAATGTTTAGTGGTGGGATGGATAGGACGTGGATGTGAGTTTTGAAGGACAATGAGTACTTTCAGGTCATCTAAATCCAGTCTGTAGGTGTTGCAGTGACTAAAAGCCACCTTTCTTTTGAGATCTTAAGGCCCTTAAGCATCGTTGTTGTGTCTCACTTATCAAATAGTGGTTGAATTTAGTGAATGCCCATTGAAATTTTCAGAATATTTTTCATAGAAAAGTGACCCTCTGATGACTCTCCTTCAACAAGGTGCCCTCAGCATCACTGTCCTTCGCCCTTTTTGTGAAGCATCGCCATGGCTGATGAAGAAAGAGCTCGATACAATTGTTCCTCCGAATCTCCAGTCGAGGACATGGGAGACATTTCCCCCAGTAGAGGTATAACTTTTCTGGCTGAAAAGTCACTAAATTTGCATATCCATCTATAAATGAACCAGAGTCTCAGGTCTTCTCACATATATCCATTCTTTTTAAAAAAATATTTTATTGATTTTTTACAGAGAGGAAGGAACAGGGATAGAGAGTTAGAAACATCGATGAGAGAGAAACATAGATCAGCTGCCCCCTGCACACCCTCTACTGGGAATGTGCCCACAACCAAGATACATGCCCTTGACCGGAATCGAACCGGGCACCCTTCAGTCCGCAGTTTGACGCTCTATCCACTGAGCCAAACCAGTTAGGGCAATAGTGTGTGTTCTTAACAAATAATTCCTCCTAGTGTTCTGCAGTTTTAGCCCTAATTTCATGTATTTCTATTTTATAGTTCATTTCAGGTCATCAAGAGGCTTAAGTGAATATGAGGTATATTTGAAGACTTTGACACTGTAGATTTAGATACACCTGACCAGCTAATCTGTTTTATTTCTTTTACCCTACATTGAAGGCTTGAACATCTTCTCATGATATAAAAATATCTGCTCTGAGTAACCCATGTTACAGTTCTGCTGTCATGGAATTACTGATATGCAATACAGAAATCTTCTCTCCACTGGTTCCTTATTTGTTAGTTTTAACTCACAATTTTTTCTTACCTTATTAATTCATAAATTAAATTCACAAGAAAAATGTGAAGGATTATACACAGGGATTTAAACTATAATGTTAAAAAATAAATATTGTAATTAGGTCACAGTAGAAAAGCCCCCACCTAAAGTTTTTTTAAGAATGAAAGAAAATATCTGGAGTGAGAACCTTGAAGTCCTGAATCTCACAAGACTTTCCATTTCATCTTGCAAGCAGTTTAAGTAATATGTCCAGCTTATTGTCAGGTGTTAAATTATTAAGTCAGTGAAGGTATTGATAAGATGATCAGAGAGAGATACTAGTGTTAAGTGAAGAGGATAATGTTTTGAGGTATGATGATTTTTGCTTTCCTGAATAATTTTGTAATAGCAGGGGCATAAAATATTGAAAAATTAAGCCACAGTGGTACTCAACTTTCCTAATGCCGCGACCCGTTAATACAGTTCCTCATGTTGTGGTGACCTCCAACCGTAAAATTATTTTTGTTGTTACCATAACTGTAATTTTGCTACTGTTATGAATCGTAATGTAAATACCTGATATGCAGGATGTATTTTCAGGGGTCGCGACCCATAGGTTGAGAACCGCTGACAGTGATCTCCTAGCTCTATATTTTATTTTGGTGACTATAATCAACATGGTGAATAAAGATGATCTGAATTCTAGTCCTGACTCTACCAATTATTAATGTGGGATTTGGGACAAGTCACACTGGACCTTTACTTCCTTATCTAAAAAATGAAAGGACACACCAAATGGCTCACTAAGGCTATATATCCAAGTTGGAAGTACTGCATTATGACAAATAATATGCGACATCTGAAATGAATGAAAGCAGTTCAGTCTCTTCCTCTGCAACTCCTGTAGCTATGACTACACACGGTGGGAGTTGCCCAACCCAGGCAAGACGCTGAGTGGTTATCACTGACCAGGCAGTGGACACTGAATAGCAATTTAAAAGGGAGCACATCAGACACACTGCGGGGCATAGGGCATCAAACCACACAACTCCTGAAAACAGAGGATAGCATAGAGATGAGAGTCCACTCTAAGGCAGACATTTCTGCTCAAGCGATCCTCAAAGATTCATGCTTATTCTAGAGTGAGCTCAAAGACCACTCAGGTCTGTAGATGGTTTCTCTCATTAAGTCAACATATTCATGGAACCAGAAAGTTAAAGATTGTTTTATTCCAAGTGTCTTTGGCTACCTGTGGGTATCAAAGGATAGTCTCATGCATTTGGCCTAAGCTAGGCTGTAGCCACGTTGCCATGACACAGCACTGCTTGGCACTCCCCTAAGTGCCATCCACAGGACATGATGCAACAGGATTTTAAAATATGCAGATTCTCAGTAACACATATAAAGAGGAAAACTTGCCCAATTTTGTTATCAAGTTTTCTTATACTTGTGAAACTTTTTGTGAACAATGATATTTTATTTATTTACCTTTTTTGCCTATGTATTCCCTAACAGTGGTTTCTAGCATAGTATTTAAATAATAAGAACTCAGTTTTTTAAAAATGTTGATTTCTTGTGTGGTTGTTTTGTTTTGTTTTGTTAATAGAAAAAAACTCCAGGACCTCCGTTTGGCACTCAGCTTTGGAAGGGCCTTAACATTGAGGCCAAACAGCTAGTGAGCACCCCCGCCCCTGTAGTCAAGAGCCCCAATGTGCTACAGATACGCCAGTTCATCCAGCACGAGATCATAAAGAATGAGGTGAAACTGAAGCTACAGATTTCCCTTAAGGTAATGGAATCCAAGTAACCTGCCCCAAAAGAATCAAGAACAGGGCAATCATTCCCCTTGGTTTGCCGAGGAACCTGAATTAATGTAACAGATGAGTGTCAATCTTCCAGAGGGGAGGACATTGAGAGGTATAAAATGCTAAATGAGTCCCATAAGGTGTAAGAAGTATTGAGATCCCAAAGACACTGAGAAGATAAGTAACTTTTATATATGATGGTTATATAGAGTCCTCACTTCTCATTATGTGGAAAACTAGCCTAGTGACCTCTGGAAAAAGGTAGAACTGCATATTAATCTGAAATTTGTCTGAAAGAAAACTACTGTTGGTTTTTGGAAATGGCCTGAGAATTTTTAAATATTTAATTAATTGTATAAGCATCTGTAACATCTCACTGTCTAGTATGTTAAATCTCAGAACAAGGATCGTATGTTCTGAGATTTGGTTCTCCAGTACCTGACATAGAACAGGGGACAATTATTTGTGCGAAAAGATCAAATATTTATGGAGAAAGTCAAGTATGCTCCTCTTGGAAGCAAAGGCATGCCTAAGCAACTTACATTCAAAGATAGAACCATAAAGGTTGTCCCTGGAAAGGACTCTGAATATCATCTAATTACTGTGTCCATTTTATTGGTGGGGACAGTGGAGCATATAGTTAGATGTGGGGCCTCTCTGAAGTCCTCATACAATTCTAATGTCCTATGGCCCTTAAAGCTTTGCTTTTGTGCTTTTCAGATCTTTGCTTACTAACATATTAAAGAAGGGTCTTTCTAGATTGCTTGACCAGTAAATGCGGTGGCTGGTCATTGTGAATTTATATATTCTTAATCTCTTTGTGATATTCCAAGTTGATGTTGACTAGTTTGGTGTCTCTCTCTACCTTATTTCTGATTTCTATTGATTCATTTTATTCTGCTGATTTAGGATTATATAAACCATATCCTAAAGAAAGAAGATGAGCTACAGGACATGACAGTTAAAGATTCCAGAACTGAGGAGGAGAGAGGCAACGCTGCAGATCTCCTCAAACTAGTTATGGTGAGACAGAATGTTCACATACCACTGTCCTTACTGTTGTTCCACTACTAGTTATAGTGAGACAGAATGTTCACACACCACTGTCCTTACTGTTGTTCCACTACTAGTTATAGTGAGACAGAATGTTCACACACCCCTGTCCTTACTGTTGTTCTACTGCTAGTTATAGTGAGACAGAATGTTCACATACCCCTGTCCTTACTGTTGTTCCACCACTAGGTGCTCCAAGACAAAATCCTATAAGTAAGAGCTTGTTTCTGCCATTTCTGTAAAGCATTTTCTCCCTCCTTATAATTTCTTATTTCTGTGGAAATCTGACTTATTATATATTGAATTTTTCAAATGTCTTTTTAGGCTCTTTTTTAAATCATAAATAACTCTGAAGGCTCTTAAAAGAAAAGTTTTATTCTCTTAAGAGAAATTGATATTCTTTGAAACAGTGAATAATTAGTTAAGGAAATAGGAAGGAGGAAGAAAAGGAGTTTCTACAACTTAAAATGATTTTTAGAAATTTGTTAAGTGAACGAATTGACTAAAAAATCAAATAAGATTTGTATAAGCATTAAAAATAATTCATTGTAATTTTCATAAAAGATCAAATTGATCACATAAGAATGTTTGTAAACAAAGTGAATTTTGTGTGCAATGTAATAATTAAGGAATTTTCTCTTTTTTTCAGTCTTTCC